CTCCACCTATTCTGCTTTTAGCTTTATTATGAGCACCATCTAGATTTAGTTTGTACCATCCTAGTGGAGGCTTCCTCCAATTTGTGCTGCAACTGAGTCTAAGGTCATGGTTACTTTCCCTTTCCATTAGATAATAGAACTCACTTTCTTGGTTGATGATACGTGGTAAGGAGATAAGATTGTTTGTATTATTTTTCAGATTATAGTTTCTGTTAATCCAAATGTTCTAGAGCAGGAATGGGAGCAAGTGGTTCTAATTGATAATGTTGGAAGGAACCAAGGGATTACTATGTCTGATGGCATCTAGCCAATTGTGATTATTATACTTTAGCGCAGTGGTATCCCAATTAATGGATTTCCAAAGGTATGTAGCTATTTCACAATGTAGAAAGATATGGGGAAGGGATTCCTCCCCTGACCTACACACACTGCAGGTTTTGTCAACATTCATTCCGATATAATGAAGGAAGGAACGGAAGGGGAGTCTATTGTGGCAACATTTCCATAGGAAGAATTTTATTTTGTTTGGGCAGTGTGCGTCCCATACCCATTTGAATTTATTAGAGTTATTTTTTGGCGCGGGTTCAGGATTCTCAATTAGAGAGTAGCATGAAGCCGTGGAGAAGGATCCATTAATATTGGGTTCCCAGAGAAGGTAATCATAATAGCGATTAATGGGTATAGAAATGTTGGTGATGTTATTAATGATGTAGGCGGTAGGGTGAAGGATAACTTATCAAAAGATCAAGTATTATTAACTATGGGATCACTAATTTTTATTTCGTGATTCTTAATATTTAAGGGGCCTTCTATACATCTTCTTAGAAGGGGAGTATTTGGAATCCATCTAGCGCTCCAAATGGAGAGGGAGGAGTTACTATGGATTGCCCATAGGCTTCCTTTGTTACAAATGTGCCAACCCTTGAGGGTACTATTCCATGTATAGGAGTGCTTCGATTTTCTGTTATTGTTGACAAATATTTGAGTAAGGATGTTGGCCCAAGGGGCAGTAGGTGAGTTAAGAAACCTCCAAGCTGTACTAGTTAGTAGGGCTAAAGTCTTGGACTTTTCTTTACGTAATCCCAAACCCCTTTTATCCTTAGTCATTGTAATTGTTTTCCAGCTAATAAATGAAGTTTCTTTCTAGATTCCGTAGTACCCGATATGAAACCCCTTTGAATTTTGTCAATTGAGTTAAGGATTTTAACGGGGAGAAGGGTGTATTGCATCACGTGACTAGAAATACTTGCTAGAGTAGAGCAAGCAAGCGTAGCTCTACCATCGATATTTAAGCAGCTCGATTTCCAAATGGCTAATCTAGCTCTCATAATATCAAGAATATATTGGAAATCCTTAGCTTTAGGGATGAAGTTAGTTATTGGGAAACCAAGATATTTTCCAAATGAATCACATTTTTTAATTCCAAAAAATTTGAAGATTTCATTAATGCAGCTATTTGGACAACTTTTTGAAAAAATAATTTTGGATTTAACAAGATTTACGGATTGTCCTGACATGTTGCAAAAATGATTAATACCATAGAGGATAGTATTACAAGTCTTACTGTTAATATGGCCCATTAGGGTGAGATCATCTGCGATAAAGAGATGAGAAAGAGATAAACCATTCGTTGATAGCTTAATAGGATCCCACATTTTAATGTTCACTTGGTGGTTTATGTATCTAGTGAACATTTCTATGCAAAGAATGAAAATGTATGGAGATATAGGGTCACCTTGCTAATACCATGACTTGGGGTGAACCATTTTGTGGTTGTACCATTGACTAGCACGGACATAGTGCTAGTAGTAATGCATAACATGATGAGAGTGGTAATTTTTGGAGGGAATTTAAAGTATATCAAAGTTTTATGGATAAAGGACCACTCAAGCTTATCAAAGGCTTTTTCTAAGTCAAGCTTAAGAATCATTTTGCCTTTCTTACTATTACTTTTCCTGAATTGATTCATAATTTCTTGAATTAAAATAGTATTATCACTAGCACGTCTATTTTTCAGGAAGCTAGCTTGAAAGGGGCTAATGATTTTTTCCAAGAAGTATTTCAGTCTATTGGTGATGATTTTTGTAATCACTTTGTAAATTGTATTACATAGACTGATAGGCCTAAAATTTTCGAGGTTGTTGGCATTGGGGATTTTAGGAATGAGACAAATGAAAGTGCTATTATTTTCCAATAGGATATGCTGAGTAGCAAAGATCTATTGGCAGTAGGTAGTAACACTAGGGCCAACTATTTTTCAATAACTTTGGTAGAAAAAGGGGTGGAAATCATCCGGCCTCCGGGCTTTATAAGGTTTAAAAAAGAATAAAGCTTTTTGAATTTCACTATCACAAAGAGGTCTATCTAGGCTGGATAGATCTACGTGATCAAAACTCTTTGGTAGATTAGAATTTTTTGACAGAAGATGGGACGTAGTAAAAGCATCCTCAAAATAATTTTGGACATGAAGAAGGATTTCATTAGGATTATCAATCCAGTTCCCAGAATTGTCTTTAAAGTAGCTTATATGATTTCGCCTTCTTCTATTTATGACACTAATATGGAAGAATTTTGTATTGGCGTCACCATCATTGAGCCAATTAATTCTTGATCTATGTTTCCAATAGTCCTCTTCTAATTTTAGGAAGCTATTATAATCTTTTTGTAATGAATTTTCAAGCTCTTGTAGAAAAATACTAGTAGCTTAATGGGGGAGCACTGAATGCCATTAAGTCTAGCTAATATTTTCTTATTTTTCTTAAAGATGTCCCAAAGATTGTTTTACTCCAGTTGGTAATATTGAGAACAAATTCGTGTGTGGCTGATTTAAAATTATTATTGGCCTTGAAGTCAGGGTGGGTCACCAAATTTTTCAAGCCTAAAAGGTTTGTGAGAAGGACATCCTTTAAAGGAGTTAAGCTTAAGAAGTAAGGGATTGTGATCCAAATAGGTTTTAGGTAAATATGTTATTGAGGAGCCTGGGAAGAGACTTAGCCAATTTTCAATAGCCAAAAACCTATCCAGTCTTTCCATGATAAGGCCTTTGTGCCTATTTCTGTGATTAAACCAAGTATACTTACATCCTTTGAACCCTAAGTCGAATAGTTTACAATTATTAATATAGTTCCAAAACGTATTGGTTCTAGAATGATTTATTGCTCTAGCTCCAAATTTTTCAGAAGCCACAGTAATATCATTAAAGTCACCTCCTAATAACCAGGCTCCATTAAAATTGCTCGCAATATATTCTAGATAATTCCGCGTGGACTCTCTTATGTAGACATTTGTACTTGCATAAATAGTACTAAGAAACCAATAAAATTTGTAGGGGATTTCCTCTATCATTGCATGGATTTCCTGGCCCCTTCTAGTAAAGTTGTTTACAGTAACAACTTTGTGGTCATAGAAGACAACTAAGCCACCAACTTGGCCTTCAGCGGGCACCTCGATCATTTCTGTGAAGTTATAATCGTTGAGTAGGGCTACATCGGAGGACATCCTAGTTTCGAGCAAGGCTACTAAGCAGGTTCTATGAGTATCTATCAGATCTCTAAAGTTCCTGCGAAAATCTTCATTGTTTGCTCCACGCACGTTCCAAAAAATGATGTTTGTGGCTCTATTCATCATTATTGGATTTTGATGGTTTGAGTTGGTCACTGCCTCCAAAGGGGAATTGGGGTTCGTTCTGCTGCATGGAACTAGGATCACTGCATAAGAGCCCACTGTTGGGTCCCTTGGTGGCCTTCTATCCATCGAGCATTTGTGCACTGAGGGAGGCCAGTTGAATATGAACTTTTTGCTCATGTTTTCCTTGAAGAGTAGAACCTTTACCTCGTTTAGGTTTGCAAACTCCACACTCAGCTCCGTATTTAGAAACTCCAATTCTTCCTCCTCCTCCATTTGATTTTCTCTTTGACCTTGTTCGTTGGGAGGTGGATTGTTCTCCATCTGGTTTGGCATGTTGACTAGAGCTTGGTTTGCATGGGAGTCCCATATAATGAGAATGGGACTGAGCAGGGAGATCTCCTTTGGGAGAAAGAAAGGAAGATCCAGAGTGTGAGGGATTGTAATATGTGGGTTTGCTCGTGGTGGGAGGTTCTAGTGGCTTTGCATGGCTTGAAGCAGGTTGACATTCATAGATGGTGCAAGAGGCTGAAGCACGTTGTTGATCTAGGTTTGAGTCATGAAGTTGTTCATGGCTAACCTCACCCCCTCCGATATAAGTTGGGCCAGGTAGGGGGTGTTTTGGATCACTGTGATAGTGTCCTGACCATTGATCTCCATATTGAAGGAGATCGCATGGCCCATTAAGCCTGTTTCCATCCTGATTAGGGGTTGATAGTTTGGAGGTAGTGGTGGCGACGTGTAGTAAACTTTTGGATTTGGAAGTTGAGGGGGAAGGGGGGGTAGGTTGTTCATAGTTGGACGAGGGGATTGACGGAGAACTTGGATGAGTCTGTTTCTCCTTCTAGGTGAGTGTGGAATTTTTGGCATATTGAGACTGTTTGGGACTTGAATGGGAGTTTATACTACTTGTACACTTGATAGGATGTGAGGCAGTAGATAGATTTATAGGGTTAGGATATATGTGCATGGGAATGGGGTGGGGAAGTGTAACGGATTTATCTGAAGATTTAGTAGAAGCCATATTTTTAAGGGTAGTGTCCATTTGTTCGAGTTCTACTAAGGGAGTGGACAGGTGTTGTGGTATTGCCTTCTGGTTGGACGTTGTATCGCCCAATGAGTATGTTTGAGTGATGGAGTGGTGTGGAAGAGCCTCGTTAATTGGTTGGTTTTGGGTGTGGATTGCAATAAATAGTTGATTGTCTTTTTAAGATTATTGCCTACCGGGTGATTACTGCTAATTGTAGGCTTAGCTAATGATTGAGACGTGAAGGAGGTGGGTTATCAGCTCCTTCCACATGTAAGTTAGATGGGGCAGTAGAGCACTACTTACCCTCTATGCATTGGTCAGTTTTTTCTTCCAAAACCATTAGATCTTAGTTATAGATGGAATCTGTGGGCGTTAAGAATAAAGAGTGGAATTTGTTGTTAATGGGAATGTGGTTATCTTTACTAATAACGGATGAAGGACTGTTAATACCTTTAAATTTTAAGGATTTATCATAAGTATCTTTTTCTACAAACTTTAATTTCTGGTTTTGAAGAAACTTACATCTGTCAGCATTGAAGATCTTAACATTACTACCTGGTGTATCTGAGTCATTAACATCATTTAGTTTAGATCGCGTGCCTCTGCTTTTGGGCCTGCTGAACGATACTGTCTCCCAACTTTCATTGCATGGATCTTGATGGTTCTTCTGGGGACTCTGCAATTCTTTTTCTTTTGGAACCGTTGCTGACTTGGAGTGAGGACAATGTGGGCTAATATGACCAAGTCTACTATATTTTTTGCGGAGAAAATTCTCTCCTTCGTAATGGATGGACTGCTTGTGTGACCCAATGAATATAAAAGATTTAACTGGTTGTTCCATGTGGATTTCCACATATAATCTAGCATAGCGACCACGTAGGGTAGCCGATGTACATGCATCAACTCTTAGCAATCTCCCAATGGTGTTCCCAATTTTTCTAAGGATCACACCATTGTAAAACTCGGTCGGAAGGTGTGGGAGACGAACCCATATAGTAGTATTGAGGGGCTTTGCTTCTGATGCCACAAAATTTGGCACCCACCTTTGAACTGAAAGCAAATGTCCATTAATGAACCAAGGACCTTGGTGCATGACTTTAGTTAGGTTTTCTTCCTTTGTGAATTTAGCAACGTAGTAATCGGTACCTAGATCGATTAAGGGGAAGTTCTCAGATATCTTCCATTGTTCTTGTACCTTCTTCCTTAGGTAGTGGTGCATAATTCGCTTCACTAAGAGCTTTATGATTACCGAGTGTTTCCAAGGATCATAAATACGTTGCACATCCTCAGATGATAGGTTAACTTTATAGCTTTCATTTATAGTATCCATGACACTCAAAGTGTAGTCCTTGGTATAATCCATAGGCTCCGAGGACTGTTCTACTTGGTTTTCAAGGAGGAGAGGAGTGATGTGTATAATAGAGTCATTGAGTAGTTTATCTTTAAAGGAAAGGGGTTCCTGAAGGGGGTTCTTCTTTGCCCACGTTTGTTTTAATATTTTGAATTATTAATTTTTTTGACTTATAATATTTTTTTATATAATTTTCATATATGCAAATTTTTTTCCAAAATATTTGAAGAATTTATGTTTAAATTCAAATTGAAAACCAAGTGCTTTTACCATCTGAACCATGCCAAACAAAGTGGAATGAAAGGAGTATTACTTACCTATTACTATGTTGTTTCCATCGAAAACAAAGGGAAGTGATGAAAAAAATCAAATAGAAGTATGCAATGAGACGGAACACAAATAGTTCTTGACGCATATAGTATAAATGTTTGGAATTATATTAGAACATGACATATGCACTATTCTGAATTAATGTTCACACTCTAAAGTACTTTGGAATATTACATTATATGATTTTAATCATGACTAAATTAAATGTCTCTTGTCATTAACTTTCGGTTAAGATCTTTCTTATGGATGAAGGTAATCCTTAAATCTCACATTAGTCCAAATTATGACTTTTCTGTTCTCCTTGCCAAAATAAAAAATGAATGAACACAACAGAATCGGAAAAAAAAAACACCCTATGAAAGAAAAAGAAAGGAAGGGAACTATGATAAATTGCAAATTTTCATCATTTGTGGCAGCAACAACTAATGTTTGCGTTAGAGTAGGTTGTCTATACCACACCCTTGAAATATGGCTCTTCTCGAGCTTTGCGTGAACGCGAGATACTTTGTCCATCAGACTGCTATTTCTATCAAATCTATCTCCTTTGGGCCGACAGATTTACCAACCTAAAGCTTCACGCTCCTTTAGATGAAATTAAAGGATCTTCCTTGACAGAATCATGATTAAAGATTTGTTATACGATGTGTTCCCAAGATTCAGGAACTAGCAACTAGAAAGATGTGTTCCCAAGATTCTATGACAAGCAACTAGAAAGGTGTAGTATTGTCAGCATCTGCTAGTGGGTGCTGGAGAAACAATGTCATTCATTACTATATATGATGCCAACCTTAAAATTGGGAGGGAAAATTAATTGCAAGGTTAGACGCAACTGCATTAGTGATATGTAAATTCGGATGATTTCAGTTGCAGGTATTTTTCTATTTCAGAAGTTTCGCTTTTTTAAAATATTATCTATTTCTAGCGATGGCAGTGGAGCTAGACGGGCAGTTACGGTGAGGGTTCAACCTTAACCCGTAAAGATTTCAACCCGCCCCGCACCATCCCGTATAACAAAATTTTCTATTTTCTATCTGTCCCACCTATACCCGCATAAACCCGCCCCGCCCACAATATTTTTCATTCTTAATTTTTTTATTTTAGCTGATGGTAAATCTTTTTTAACTTGAACGTCGTTCGGTCAACACTAATTTTATATTATTTTCAGCTTTAGATATTATTTTAATTAGTTAGACAGTCTAATTACTATACTCATTTTTTTTCTTCTCTAATATTTATTTTTGTACTTTGACTCACCAACTGAAACTCTTTGTATATAGAAAATATATGCTTAGGAGAGACCTATGTATGTTGTTGCATATTTTTTTTAAGTGGGATGATTTTAACTTTGGTGCTCCAAAATTTATGATCTTATAATTTAATTAGGGGTTCAAAATAGTAAGAACACTCCAAAATAAAAGAAACTAAATATATTTGTTTAAAAACATCTTCAGGTGCTAGTACCATAATTTTCTTTTTTTTCCCCTGGGTTAAGAAACGTATAATTCTAAAAGTAAAAGCTTTAACCTATTTTTCACTTAAAAAAATAAAATGCAAGCATATAGTACCTGTTGAAGGTACAGATATTTGAAGGATATTTGGGAGAAAGAAATTAAGATAATAGATTGAATACATTTTACATAAAAAGGTTTTAGGATCTTAGGATATATAATCATCAAAGAAGAGAATATAGCAGGCAACTGATTTTTGTCAATTTTAACCGCATAAAACTACACTAACCCGCAACCCCCCTCCCCCCGCCCCACATCAATTTTAAAACAATTATTTTAGCCCGCTCCGCACTCGTACCTGCACTGCCCCATGTTTAGTCTTATATCCTCACCGCACCAGCACTGCCTCATTGTCATCCTTATCTATTTCTTAACTGGTTCTCACCACAAAAATCAGAATGTAGCTCCCAATTGAAAGAAACAATAGCGAAAATATAAATGAGTTAATTTCTTTGATGGTCATTCAAGTAATAAAAATATGTACAATTCCTCAAATTGAAGCATATTTTTCTTCCTCCTTCGACCTATGACTGAAAATCCCGCTCAAAATCTTCACCAAATTGCCTAAAAATTTAGATATAAGCTCCTTAAAGTATTTTCAATTGTTTGCCGCAAAACTGAAAGCCAATTTCGAAAATCCAATTATTAAACTCGAAACCTTGAAACTTATTAATGGTAAAAAGCTCTTCCTCAATTACTTTCAGTCCAAATCAATGGGTTCTCTATCTAAAAAGGTTTAGCTCAACTTGAGGTTACGTTTGCAATCATACATATTGAGGAAGCGTGTCAAAATAATAGAAAGAAAAGGATATTTAGGAGAGAAACAACAAATTGCACAAGACAAGACAAGATTTACGTGGTTCGGCAATTTTTGCCTACTCCACGGCCACACAAAGAATAGTTCTTTATTAATTGAAGAGAGAAAGAAGAAGTTTTGGGATGATCTACAAATGAAAATGTAGACCCCTATTTATAAGCATTTGAATGTCCTGCCGAGGTAAGCGCTTACATCACAAGAATGTCGATGTAAGCGCTTACATCATATTTTCATCTCTTTTTGATTTTTCTTTCTTTTGTTTTGTCTACTTTCACATACAACAACAGGTTTGGTCCTATCAATCTCCCCCTCAAACCTATGTTACATCAAGAAAGAAAATAAAGAAAGATTTGCTATTCTCTGGTGGCGCCTTCACTCTAT